TTGCATCGCCTTGTGTAAAAGGTCATGAAATACTCGGAAGACGAGACCTCAACTGCAGCGTCTGCTGAAAAGGGAGAAGAAAGAACAAAGGGGTTTGTTGGGTTTTGGTTTGGGGGGTTGGGGGGAGGGAATAGAAAGCCAGGCTACCTGATGATCCATTTTGTCCAGGGTCTTGTCTACAAAGTAAACCATCTCCAAAAGCGGGAAATGCACACAAAACCTGGGAAAAGTAGTTTGGAGTTTACTCCTCACGCTTTCCTCTTAATCCCTTTTTCTCAGTTTGTGTAGTGTCATGAATCGCACTGGTTTGTTCTCTCAAGTCGCCGTTTTTAAAGCCCTAGTACTAAGATAAGTCTAGATAGTCCTGGAAATGATTACATTTGTTGTGGTTTGATAGGGAGTGAACTGATGAGGTATTCCTCTTTTTGCCCTAAGTTTTACCGTAGAATGATGCCAAGGAATACACCAAAGAACTATAATACCCTACACATTTCTGAATAGCTAGTGCTTTTCTGGCAGGATAGAGGATTTACCTTTGATTTGTTTCCCTTCCTTTAAAAAAGAAAGTGTTTAAGACTGACCGCATTTGTTTACTTACTTAGAATCTTGATCAATAAGATAGTTTCACAGGACAGCATTTTCAGTTTTTATCACGCTTGTGCTTGGTACCTCTTTGTGCTTGCGTTGCACTCAGACAGCTTAAACTCAACACAGCCAGGACAATACATTTTTTCCCTAGGGTTTTTTTCCCTAGGTGTTCCTCTTCCACTGTCAGCCCCTCAGGGCCACAGCTTCCTTCGTGCCGGCTCTGGCACTCGGCTCAGCCCTCGGTAAGCTGATTCAGCTTGCTGAGGCGGCAGGAAACCAGTCCAAGGGAAAGAAACATTTTTTGCTGGTTTGATGAGCTGGATCACTTCACCAAGGATGGGAGCGCAAGAACTTGCTTGCAAAAAAACAGGGGAGGTCCATGGGGAAAGAGGAAGAGAGGATAGCCCATTTCAACAAGGACGAGCTCTTAATTTAACTCAGTCGTCTCGTTGAGCCATCCCTGAGAACACATGTATAATTCAGCCGGTAGGCATTAAACTTCGGTAGCTCCGTTGCACTTGAACTAGTATGTGATGATGAACCAGTAACTGCAGTCTGTAAGCTTTACAGATCATGTATTTATACATCAGCTTTGGGATCTTGTTGTATGACCAGGATTCCTAGCCATTATTGTATAAAATCAACAATAATTTTCATGAGATCACAGAATAACAGTAGATATCACAAAAGTATTCTCCAATCCCATGGGAAAATACAAGGGTGCAGCATTCCCAGCCTTCACAGCAGTTGCAAACCATACAGCCTGCAAACAGGTACAATTTCAATTCTTTCTAGAGTGGCAAACCTATTGTCCTGGTTTCGACTGGGATAGAGTTAATTTTCTTTCTAGTAGCTGGTACGGTCTTATATTTTGGATTTAGTATGAGAAGAATGTTGATAACACACTGATGTTTTCAGTTGTTGCTAGGAGGTGTTTATAGCAAGTCAAGGATTTTTCAGCTTCTCATACCCAGCCAGCAAGAAGGCTGGAGGGGCACAAGAAGTTGGGAGGGGACACAGCCAGGACAGCTGATCCAAACTGGCCAAAGGAATATTCCATACCATATGATGTCATGCCCAGTATATAAACTGGGGGGAAAGCTGGCTGGGGGTGGGGAGGAATCGCTGCTCAGGAACTAACTGGGCATCAGTCAGCGAGCGATGAGCAATTGCATTGTGCATCACTTGTTTTGTATATTCCAATTCTTTTATTATTATTATTGTCATTTTATTATTGTTATCATTATTATTTTCTTCCTTTCTGTCCTATTAACTGTTCTTATCTCAACCCATGAGTTTTACTTTTTTTTTCCCGATTTCTCTCCCATCCCACTGGGTGAGGGGGGGGGAAGTGAGTGAGCAGCTGCACGGTGCTTAGTTGCTGGCTGGGGTTAAACCACGACACCTATCCAGAGATAAAATTGTCCTTAGGACTAGGTGAAGATGTTTGTTTTAGGAAGTTACCACAGCTGACTACAGCTACCAAAATGCCTGACTTCCCTGCTTACTTTTGGCTCTGAATACTTAAATAACAGGTTAGCTGAGCAACGAGAACATTTGTAGCCTGCAGTGGGTATGAGCACCCGGTGCAAAGTGATGAACGGGAAATCAATATTACTCTCTTCACTTGACGGGTTAATTACAGAAGGTGCAATGACAGTATCCAAGTTCACAGTAAAATATAAACGTATAAGATGACTTATGCAAACTTTCTGCTTTTAAGATTTTACTGTAGTGAACTTAAAATACATGGTATCCCTCAAGCACAAAGCAATCAATTGGTGTTGCAGAACGGTCTGTTTATGGCCACAACTGCAAAAGAACACAGTTCCCATTTTGCTAGGTTAAGGACATGGGCTGACACCTTGCTTTTGATTTATCTGTGTTAGTGGAAGACATTAAGTCAGGACTAGTGGGAGACAGGCCCTTCATCTTAAGAGTGCCTACCCAAGTTCCCAGCTGACAGCCTCCTTCCATCGTGGGCTGCCCCCGCCGCGGTGGTGAGTGCTCGCCCAGCGCGCTCGGCTGCTGTTCTTTGAGGGACGCGACCTCTTGGCAGAGAGGTGGCACTCAGCAGCAGAGGGGAGAGCTGTACCTTACCTCGGCTGGCTGAGTCTCACAAGCTGTATCAGTTTCTGAGGAGAAGGTAACAGCTACAAAGGCGCCATCTTTTTAAGGTCACACTTTAGTTGTGATGGATTTGGGACTTTACATGTACTTGCTAGTCCAGGGAGCTGCTGACGCCCAACAAGGTGCCTCAGCCTTGTCTATTCCAGGGAAGAACTCAGCTGAAGGGTGGCATGAGTTGATGGCTCTGCTTTTCCTTCGTTTTTTCACATTTCCAGCCAGGTTTTCCTCTCGACACTATGCCACAAATGCAATAAATCAACACGCTTGTCTTCCTTCCCCTGTTCCCTAACACTGCTGCCATTTTTGGGCAACATCTGCTTTTCATTCCCAGCCCAATATTAATAAAGCAATAAGCAAAACAGGATGTGCATTAGGAGGCTAATGGGCTTTAGGTCCTCCTGGAGCATGAGCATGGGGAAGCATAAAGCGAAAGGACAAGTAACTCTGTTCCTCAGGGACTCTCACCAAGCTAGTGTCCTAATGAACTCCCGAGGGCAGCTCACTGCTGCGAGGGAGCAGCTCATTATTTTTATTTGAGATGTCAGAGAGAGCGCTTGTAACAGAAGATCCCAAACTAAAGACCTCCTTTAGTACAAGAAATGAGCTTAACCGCACTCAGACACAGTTCAGCTAAATCCACCTTAACGTTTGTCGGTCTCCAGAGAAGAGCTAGCTACAGTTTCATGAATGAAATCAAGAAACCCTGAATGGGAGGGAAGTGCAAAGCAATAGGAGAATGGCAGAAAGGAGAAAGACAGTCTCAGAAATAATAGTTAAGCTTAGGGGTGACAGCTGTCAGCATTGAAACTGTACATATCAGAGAAGAAAGGGCTACATTTTCTCACTGAGGTCATTCTTCTACTTTATCGTTTGCCCTGTGCCATGCTCTCCCATCCAGGGAGCACCCCTACCACCCACAGCAGGGCCAGGGTGATGGGAGGGATGGGTTCACTTGGCCATCCAGTGTTCATTGGGCACGGAAAGGTGGTGAGTCGGGCTTGTGTCAGTGCAGGGGGCCCAGTTGGAAGCAGCAGGTGATAAGGCTACCTGCAAAGGGTAGCGCAGGAAAGGCTCTGACATGCCTTGCGCATCTCAGGGCTGAATCTGGCACCATGACTATAAACACGGGCTCCCCTTTGAGTGCCTAGTAGCAGGATAAAGCCCATGCCATCTACATGAGTCATAGTAATGATTCTGTAGGGCCTACTGTTTTGGTTTAGAAGATGCCAAGTCTCAGGAGGTAAGTTGCAGTGAATCTACTTGGGATAATTTTAACAGTTGTGTTCAAAATGAGACCTTCTTTCTCAAGCAAAAGCCCAATGTTTAAGTGCGTTTTTCTGAAAAAGCTAGTCGAGCATCTTAAAAGTGGGACTGACTCTTGATTATTTATGTCTCTCTCCTATGCAATTACACACAGAAGAACTCCTGTTTTGAAAAACAGATTTGAGTGTAAAAAGTCTCAGTTGGTTTTAGATGTAAGGAGACAAAGTAAAATTAAAAAAAAAAAAAACTAGAAGAAAAAGCATAGAAGAAACAAGGAGAAACTAAAGCACATTTTCTACATACCATTAACCTCTGGAGATCATATTGATAAATGCTCAGTGACAAACTAGGAGGCAGGGGTTCTAATTCCCAACCCTGCAACATGTCAGGCCGTGCTAGGAATTTGTCTAGTGGGGCAGAGGGAGGGAGGAGGGTGCAGGAAGCTGTCCGAGTCAGCACAGGAGCTCTGTACAGGCAGTCTCTCCGGTCTGAGGAGAACCGTGAGGGCTTCCTCCATCCCTGCACTGAGGAGAGGAGCAGGCCTTTTCCTCCACTCTGGAGCCAGGCTGGAGCCCCTCACTCAAGCGCTGCAGGGTGCCGAGGCTCTGGGCAGCTTTGAGCCGCAGCGCATGCAGCGCAGTGCAGTAAGTGCTGCACTCTAGCCCTGAGCAAGCAATATCTAAAGGCAGATAATCTAGCAGCTAATCATCAAAGATATCTCTTTTCCAAGTTATTTACAAGTAAGATATACCAGTTTATTAAACACCAGGATACTTACTTAGGAATGTATACAGGGCTGTGGTAGCCTAGCGGCAGTATAATGAGATACGGTCTATGCCTTGAATGCAAAGGCACATTTAGTGCCTATAATTGTTTCCTAAGATCTATACCTCTGGTTTTAAGCCTTTTTTTTCCTACTGCCACAGCAGTATCAGGCATTAAGGAGACATGAGATACTCATATAGTCTACATGGGAGAGGAAGAAGGGAGCTGTACTGTGCCTTGTTATGCCATTTCATTCTTTGTGTTCACATTTTTTCCCTGCAAGTCCCAGTTCCTCTACTACATCCTGCTTTTAAAATGGTGTAAGCATTCATCTGAAACTATGGAAGCATCATCTGAAACCAGGACCAAAGCCATGAACAAAGACTAAACCAGATTTCCCTCTCACTGTCATTCACAGAGATCTCGTTTCTCAGCATGTGCTGCTTTATTTCAATGTCACCTTTCAGCGGCCTTTTGGCAAGAATTCTGTATTCATGTATAAGCTAATGCATTTATATTTGGTTAATATATGCATTATGACCTTAACCATCCTTAAACATTATTTTCCTCTCTACACTTATATGCCTTTAAGTGTGCTAGTTTTAAATGTTAAGTGACAAAGTCAAAACACTTTGAAGTAACAGTTTGAATCTGTTTGAATTCTTTGCCCATGTCCAAATTCAAAATTCTGTATTAAAATAGAACATTTGCTCATTGATTTTTCCCCCCACCTGATCATTAGTTTCTATCAGAGGAAATGCACTGGCAAAATCACAAAATATCAGCGCCACAATAGAAGAAACCTGGAAGAATGCCACCAAGTGAAAATATCCTCTCTGAAAGTCAGTACACAGGATCATAAAAATGTCTGGGAACTCCTGGGTCATCAACCCCCGATCCCAGTTGCCATGACATGATAGGCTTTTAGTCTACTGTGGGCCACAGTGTGGCCTGACCACAAACATCACTAACTGCAAAATGTAGGGGGTTTAGTACAAAACACCAAAAAAAACACAAAATCTATAATGCACCATTAAACAGAGAGCAAGAAAAAAATCAGTTTCCTCGCCAGCTTCTAAGTAAATCTACTGTGTGTGTAAAGGTAGACACCTTAAATGCATCTTTCTGGACCATGCCAGTGTCTGAATTCGTGCTCCAACGTGTCACCCTAGCCAGTCACGTCAGATGGGAGCCAGCAATGTGCCACCTGGAATCAGCACTTGTGCCTTCACACAAAGGGAAAGAGCATTTGTCCAGGGAAAGTGCATGTCATTCAGAACCAATACTTTAAATAATATCATGAGCAAATTTAATTACTGAGTAGCAATAAAGTAATTGAACATTGATGAATATAAAGGTAGCACAAAATAAGAGTAACACAAGAAGGAGTCATGAGAATAGACTCTAATGAAACACACTGCTATCTAAAATGTGATTTAACGTAATCAGTTCAGTAAATCTGAGAATATTAAAAAGTTCTTCAATTGCCAGCACAGAAGCTAGCTTCCTCCTGTTCAGTAGACCTAAAAAGGGGGAAAACTGCTGAAATGAGGAGAATTACACTCTGAGATAAGTCCATAAGACTTCTACTCCCTACCTCTGGAGTGGTGAAGCCATTTCAAAGCCCTGGGGCTACTGTACATCTCCAGCACTTAAACCGAATCTTCTACCTAGGATATGAAAACCAGAAAAGAATGTAGTGAGCTATTTACAATTACCTGGTCTGAAGCAATACAGTGTAAAAAGCAGAGATACAAAAAGGTAGCCAGGAAAGCAACTTGTAAATATGCACCAATGTTCAAAACAGATTTAGGCCAGATATGAGAGCAGGGTTTTGTTGGTTTTTAGGAAGAATAATTTGCCCAGCAGGGCATATTTTACAGCCTTAGGGTCCCTATACAAATAAAACTTGCAGATCTCTTAGAGGAATGCATGCAAAATTATCCTGAAGTTATGTATTTATTATTATAAGGCTGAAAAAAAACCCAAAGGAAATGCTCTAAGAGGAACCATATGCTGAAACATTATTCATCTTTTATCCTTGAAAACATGTTTTTAATGTGGGCACTCTGAAGGCTTATGTCAGCAAGCAGTAGCCTCTGCAGCTGCTGACCCAAGAAAGCTTTCAGGCATGGCAGTCATGGGGGCTTATATATGAAATCCAATGTTAAATTTCAACTATTGCAGCCTCCCACTCCATGTTAAAGACCGCCCTACTGTTGCCCTGAGCCCTCCGTGGCCCAAATTCTCATCTGAGTTATAGGACAAAGCAATTCCCTTGGGTTCAGGAAAATACCATTGGGTTTCTTCTACCCATAGGACTGAGCTCAGCTGTCCAGCTGCCACCAAAGATGAACACTGAATTTAATCCAATATTCATTGGTTGGGCAGGGACTGGGGAAACTTGCTGCAGTGGAGCTGAAGCGAGAGGCAGCAGAGCAGACATGCAGTGAGCATTGAGCTAGTGGGTCCTGCACACAGCAGGGCTGGTGTTTCTATTGTTTCCAGAGTGTCACCAGAGGCAGGTAGAAATACATTAGGCTGGGAGGATGCCTTCTCAAAGGGGGAGAAGCAAGCCAGCACCATTTTTTCTCCAGTGATTTTCCTGCCCTCAATCTCCTGCTGCAGGCTCTACTGCTGCCTCCAGATGTGATCTAGCTATCTTGCTTCTGTCAAGAAGAGGAAGGTGACTGTTGCAGTGCTTCTTTAAATGATAATATTCTGTATCAGCTAAGTCACCAGCCTGTGCAGCTCTTCAGCTTAGGGTCACAGATACTTGTGAGATACTTATTGTCATGACATTTGGGGAAGGTCTATTCTCATTTTAGTTTTAGTTAGCAGTTTAAATCATAGGAGGAAGATGGGGGATTTTCATTAGAAATACTGGATAGAACAGAGCAAGGCGTTGCCAGAAGTGGAATTGCAAGAGGAACTGAGCGGGGAGGGAGGAGGCTCTATCTGCTCCATTCCTCCACTC